GCGGTTCAATCCCCCAGCACCACATGCCAGCTAGCACCGCCCCCTGGTGGGCTGAGCTGGCCACACACACACACACACACACACACACAAATAAATAATTTAAAAAAAAAAAAAAGAAAAGTTTGGGAGTTCCTGAAATAAATCAACAATTTATAGATAGACACTCCTTAAAGCGTTACCAAGTATCTTAGCATTGCTCAGAAAACATCAGAGAATCCAGCTCAAAAGCTGTACTGCTGGTGTAATTACTAAACCTAAAATAACAACGGCACAGCTCCATTCTTTTTAAAAAAGGTTTTTGGAAGATGATGAAAAACCAAAGCAGGAGTTCTTGCTAGACCTGTTTATTTCAACATTCACGTTAGCACCTTGATCCAATGCATGATTTCTTTTTTTTTTAATTTCTTTTTTTACTTTTTTTTAATTTTTTTGATTTTTTTGGCGGAAGCAGGGATTGAACTCAGGCCCTGTGCTTGCCAGGGAAGTGCTTATTTTACTGAGCCATCTCCCCAGCCCCGGTGATTTCTAAAAGGGGTCTAGGCTTAGTAATTCACCAAGTACGTGACTGTAGCTCTCCTTCCCTTTTTCATTTCGCATTTTACCCCTCTGGCCTCAGAACTGAGACAAAGGTTGGCTAGGGCTTTATCATTTCTTAACTCAGCTGCATGACATGAGAAACGTGTAGGAAAACCATAGCTGTACAGCAAAGATGAAGTTTATTTGTAATAGCAGAGTTCCTGGGTCATATATTAACAGCAACAGTGGGGGTGGCACTAGACAGTATTTTTCCTTTTGCTCACTGGAAGATGAGAGCAATCACTATCATATAACAAGCACTTGGTAAATAAATGCATGAAATTGTTAAAGATGCAATTGCAAAATTTCTTTAGGTATAAGGAAGTCAGCAAACTCTGAAAAATTGTGATCTTCCATTTAGATCAAATTTGACAATTTTTGAATCAACTTAACTGCAAATACTCTCCTGACTCATTTTCCAATTTAGATTTTATGTTTATCTTGCTCTTAATTACAATGGAAATCACAAAGACTCCTTTTCATTTCTGCATCTCACAACAGCAAGCTACAGCTTACTGTGTACACAGCTGCTATGTGCTCTGTTCTTTTTTTTAATTTTTATTTACTTATTTTTTGAGACACAATCTCACTATGTAATTCAGGTTGCCCTTGAGCTCACTATGTAACCCTTCTACTTGCAGTGGTCTTCTGCCTCAACCTCCCAAATGCTTGGATCACAGGCATGTGCCCCCATGCCTGGCTTTGTTCTCACTTTTTTGTAACCCACCTAACACATCACATAAATATCTGAAAGTACCAATCCAAAAAGGATTTGAGAAAGAGAGAGACAGAGAGAGAGACAGAGAGAGAGAGCGCGCTCTTGAAGGAGTAAAAAGCACCTAACAGGAGATACAGATCTAGCACAGTGATAGAGAGTTCTTAGCATATAAGAGGCCTCAGATATCATCCCCAGCACCAAAAATGTCATCTGTAGGAGAAAACCCAACACAGCAGAGAAAACTTCATAAAGCCAATATGGGCAGAAAACATGTGCACTTGAGCCTAGAAGGATAGACTGTCCCTCAGAATGCTTGAGTCTATTTAAGTCTTATACTTGATCTTTAAAATTCACCATAAATGTCAGATTAGTAAATTGGTACTGAGTAGGAGGGGTCCAAGGAAACCCAGACCATCTCTGGATCTGGAGATGATCTATCCTTGACCAGGGTAGATGGATTGTGTGTGTACATATGTAAAAATCTGTGCACTAAAGTAGACATTTAAGACTTGTAGATTTAGGGTCAGCCAGATAGTTCAGCAGACGAAAGCGGCTGCTTCGGCAGAGTGCAGAGGCCAGTGTTTGATCCCTGGCAGTGCTGTGCTGGCCCCACCCCTAGGACGCACTGAGGAGGAGATTGAGATTGAGGATGGTGGCACGTGCCTGTAATCCCAGCACTTGGGAGGCTGAAAACAGGAGAATCACTATGAGTCCAATCTATATAGTGAGACCCTGTAGACCCTGCTCTACATTCGTAAAAAAAAAAAAAAAAAAAAAAAAAGATCTGAACATTTAGGTGTTATACTTTAAGGAACAAAATTGCCAAATTCTGTGTTTCAGAATATCATTCTCTTTAACAGCTTCATTGATTACCTTATTTTTATTTTTTTAAGGAAGAAAAGTTTATTTCAGTTCACAGATTGTGGAGGTTTCAATCTGTGGTCAGCCGGCTCCAAGGCACATTGGCACAACACAGGGGAATCATAGAAAAGAGTCTATGAGAAAGCAGGATAGGAAAGAGGCATCCAACAGTGAAGTGGCAAGCAACAAAAAAGCAAACAGAAAGTGATGGCCTGATTACTTTTATGTGTGTGTCAGGACAGCATTATGTTTTGTTTTGTTTTGTTTTGTTTTGTTTTGTTTTGTTTTGTTTTGTTTTGTTTGGTGGAACCAGGGATTGAACTCAGGCCCTTGTGCTTGCCATGCAAGCACTTATTCTACTGAGCTATGTTTTGTTTTGAGACAAGGTTTTGCTATGCACTTCAGGCTAGCTTTGAATTTGAAATGTAGCCCAAACTAACCTTAGAATTGAGGTGATCCTCCTGCCTCAGCCTCCCGAGTACTGGGATTACAAGCATGTGTCACTATGTCTGGCAAACATCTTAATTCTTTTTACTTTCCCTCTTCTCGCCACCCCTTCTAAGGGTAGAATTATTGATATACAGCAGTACCTCAGTTCACATGTTTAATTTGTTCCATGATTCTGGAAAAGATGGCCACATTCATGTTCATGTAGGAATGATGCCCACAGTCATGTTCATCATTCATTGTGGAGTTCACAAACAAAAACAAAATTTTGCCAAAGCTTCCATTTGCAAACAAACAGGTATGGGTACCGCTGTACAAATGATCCATCTTCGGGGCTGGTGAGATGGCTCAGTGGTCTAAAGCACCTACTTAGAACAAGCTTAGCAAAGCACAGGGACCGC